TGGTTGGAGTTACAGTTGTTGGTGTGGTTATTAGAGATATAGTTGTTTGAGATGAGGTTTTTGAAATTGTGGATGGTAAAAATGTGGTTATTTGTCCACTGACAGTGGTTACTTCAATACTGGTAAGTGGAATCATACTTTCAGAGGCTGTTGGCAGAGGTGCACTGGACAGAAACCCAGTGGATGATGTCCTGCTTATTAGGTGAGTGACCTCTATAGTTGGCGTAAATGTCTCAATTTCCCCAGAGCCTTCAGGAGTTGTGATTCTCTCAGTGACTTTCTGTGGTGTTGTTGGTAAATCTCCAGATCCTTCAGGTGTTGTTGAAGCATGTGTAGACTTTTGTGGTGGTGTAGTCTCCATTTCACCAGAACCTTCTGGTGTTGTTAAAAATATCTGTTACAGTTTGTGGTGTGGTCTTAATGTCTCCAGAACCTTCTCCTGAACCTTCTCCTGAACCTTCTCCAGAACCTTCTCCAGAACCTTCTCCTGAACTTTCTCCAGAACCTTCTCCAGAACTTTCTCCAGAACCTTCTCCAGAACTTTCTCAGAACCTTCTCCTGAACCTTCTCCAGAACCTTGTCCTGAACCTTCTCCAGAACCTTCTCCTGAACCTTCTCCTGAACCTTCTCCAGAACCTTCTCCAGAACCTTCTCCTGAACTTTCTCCAGAACCTTCTCCTGAACCTTCTCCAGAACCTTGTCCTGAACCTTCTCCAGAACCTTCTCCAGAACTTTCCTGAACCTTCTTCTGAACCTTCTCCAGAACCTTGTCCTGAACCTTCTCCAGAACCTTGTCCTGAACCTTCTCCTGAACCCTTGTCCTGAACCTTCTCCTGAACCTTGTCCTGAACCTCCTGAACCTTGTCCTGAACCTTCTCCTGAACCTTGTCCTGAACCTTCTCCTGAACCTTCTCCTGAACCTTCTCCTGAACCTTCTCCTGAACCTTCTCCTGAACCTTCTCTGAACCTGAACCTTCTCCTGAACCTTCTCCTGAACCTTCTCCTGAACCTTCTCCTGAACCTTCTCCTGAACCTTCTCCTGAACCTTCTCCTGAACCTTCTCCTGAACCTTCTCCTGAACCTTCTCCTGAACCTTCTTGAACCTTCTCCTGAACCTTCTCCTGAACTGAACCTTCTCCAGAACCTTCTGAACCTTTCTCCTGACCTTCTCCTGAACCTTGTCCTGAACCCTGAACCTTCTCTGAACCTTCTCCTGAACCTTCTCCTGAACCTTCTCCTGAACCTTCTCCTGAACCTTGTCCTGAACCTTCTCCTGAACCTCCAGAACCTTCTCCTGAACTTTCTCCTGAACCTTCTCCAGAACTTTCTCCAGAACCTTCTCCTGACCCTTCTCCCGAACCTTCTCCTGAACCTTCTCCCGAACCTTCTCCAGAACCTTGTCCTGAACCTTCTCCAGAACCTTCTCCTGAACCTTCTCCAGAACCTTCTCCTGAACCTTCTCCAGAACCTTGTCCTGAACCTTCTCCAGAACCTTCTCCTGAACCTTCTCCTGAACCTTGTCCCGAACCTTCTCCAGAACCTTCTCCTGAACCTTCTCCAGAACCTTCTCCTGAACCTTCTCCTGAAACTTCTCCAGAACCTTCTGATGTTGTGAAAACTTCAGTTACCAATGACATTGTTGTTTCTGTTTCACCAGAGCTATCAGGTGTTGTAAATGCTACTGTAACTGTTTGTGGTGTTGTCTCAATGTCCCCAGAACCCTCTCCTGAGCCTTCGGGTGTTGGAAAAACATCTGTTACAGACTGGAGTGTGCTTTTAATATCACCAGAGCCTTCTGGGTTGGTGTATATCTCCGTTACTATTTCTTTTGTTACTTCTATGTTTCCAGAATCCTCTGGAGTTGTAAACATTTCAGTCATTGGATGTAATGTTGTTCCTGGTTCACCAGAGCCTTCTGGGGCAGTTAACATTGCTGTAGTTGTTTGAAGTGTTGTTTCAATTTCTCCTGACCCCTCTGGTGTTGGGAACATTTCTGTTGCTGTTTCTGGTGTAGAACTAATGTCTCCAGAGCCTTCTGGTGTTGTGAAAACTTCAGTTACTGACAGTGATGTTGTTTCTATTTCACCAGAATCTTCTGGTGTTGTTATTGTTTCTGTCACTGTTACTGGAGTAGTCTCAATACTTCCAGAACCTTCTCCAGAGCCTTCTGTGGTTGTGAAAACTGGAGTTACTGGTGACTGTGTTGTTTCTGCTTCACCAGAGCTTTCAGGTGTTGTAAATATTTCAGTAGAAGTTGGAGGTGTTGTCTCAAGGTCTCCAGAACCCTCTACCGAGCCTTCTGGTGTAGTAAATATTTCAGTAACTGTGTGCTGGGTTGTTGGCATCTCTCCAGATCCTTCAGGTGTTGTGAACATTTCAGTAACTGTCTCTTGTGTTGAGTGTTCTTCTCCAGAGCCTTCAGGTGTTGTATAGACTTCAGTAGATATTTGAAAGGTCGTCTCAATGCCTACAGATCCTTCAGCGTTGTGAAAACATCTGTTACAGTTTGGAGTGTGCTTTTAATATTGCCAGAGCCTTCTGGTTTGGTGTATATCTCCGTATGTATTACTTTTGTTATTTCTGTGTGTTCAGAACCCTCTGGAGCTGTGAATATTTCAGTCACTGGTCGTAATGTTGTTCTTGATTCACCAGAGCCTTGTGGTTTGGTGTATATCTCCGTATGTATTACTTTTGTTTATTTCTGTGTGTTCAGAACCATCTGGAGCTGTGAATATTTCAGTCTCTGGTCGTAATGTTGTTCTTGATTCACCAGAGCCTTCTGGTTTGGTGTGTATCTCCGTATATATTACTTTTGTTATTTCTATGTTTTCAGAACCCTCTGGAGCTGTGAATATTTCAGTCTCTGGTTGTAATGTTGTTCCTGATTCACCAGAGTCTTCTGGGGTAGTGAACATTGCTGTAGTTACTATATTTAGTGTTGTTGTTTTTGTTTCACCAGAAACTTCTGGCACTTTGAAAAATCCAGTTACTGGAGAAGGAGATAGAGACATGTTAGCATTTAGATACTGTACATTTAAGGTGAAAATGCTATAAATACGTCTTTCAGGTTCAACAGTGCAAACATTCCAGCGGCAATCCCAAGATTCAGATAAAAATCATCACTAGTGTGACCATTTCCAGGGAGAAAAAACTCATCAGCTGAATAAACAAATTATAACAATGGCGCCACGCCCTTTAAGTAAATATGTGTCTATATATACAAAATGTGCATGATGAACTGTTTATAGCAATTCGTTAAATTGCTTAATGGTGAAAAAAATTCTCAAATAAAATTTATATCAATCAATATAAACCAACATTAGTATCAAAGTAGTGATTAAATATTATGCAGATAAATGTCCAATTCATAAGTGAGTTCAATCAGATGTGAATCCCATCATACTTGCGGTTTGCTCAATATACTGTAAACGACTGCTCATACAATCCAGATAGTTTGTGCTAAAGGAATATTAAACCAAAAACCGTGGGTTTACTCTGGTATGTTCCTTTGTAGAAAGCAGACTGGATAGTTCACCTCCTTACTCCTGGTAATGCTGTTATGAGTGAATCCAGGATATGGGTCCTCCCTTCAATGGGCTCTATATGTTCTTTCCCTATTGCTCCAGGTTTATACCGGGGAGAGAAGAAAGAGAGATAGTGCCTTATCTTTGATTAGGGATAAATATTTATTTGTGCCAATGGTGCACTCACAAGATTTAAACTCATTCAGCGTTTTACAACACAGACACACTGCCTGTACTCGCCGTTCCGAGGAATCGGGTGCGTGGTGACATCAGTGCCCCTCCCCAACGCGTTGCACCACAGGGTCACGTGGCTTCATCCGGGGGACGTGATTGGAACTGAATAAACGATGTCCATATACAGGAATACACACTTAATGTGTTACTAAACCCACAACAGTAAAATCAGTCTGTATATGCAGTAAAGCATGCTTGTTATACTCACTGTTTTATCCTGATTTCTATGATCCTCCCCTTCTTCTAGCGTCCCCCTCCTATCTCCTCAAAGGACATATCGTGTGGAGTCTCTCTGCACATGCTCAGTTTGGTGTGTATTGCTAGGGAGGTGTTTTTTTTTTTCTTTAGAGAGTGCATGTGATCAGATGATCAGTGAATGCAGGGTCTTGGGTTTAGTAACACTTTAAAGTGATACTAATAACCAGGGGCGGACTGACCATTTGGGAAACTCAGGCACTGCCCGAGGGCCCGGGGTCAGTAGGGGGCCCCATGAGATGCGCCTGGTACCTTTCATAGGCTTTTTTTGGGTGTGGTTTGAGTGTGGGCAAGGACACAGGGGCCCCATGATCCCCTATTGCCCAGGGGCCCTATGAGTTATCAGTCCGCCCCTGATAATACCACACTATTTAATTTGCATTGTCCCTTCTATTTCTGTATGTGGATGATGGCACTGTAATTATTTTATTTAAAAAAAAAAAAAATCTAAGTACCTTTTTCCTAATCGATATGCAGCAGTCACATGACCCAGATCTTTCCCAGCCTGTCTGCAAGGAAACATAATCAGAGGAGCTTCTAGCCCTCTGCTGCTGGTCACATGTTAAAGAATAGGAAAAAAATTGGCCTTTGAAATACAGAGTAAAAATACATAATTAATATCAATAAAATGTTTTAATTGTCATATAAATTTATATTTGAAATCAAATCTTTATTTTTCAGCAATAACATGGTGTGGGCGGATTTCTGATAGTCACAGGCTGTGTCACACCCCTCTAGCCTGTGTCTTAGAATAAGATGGAGCTGAAGCCTCCATCAATCTACATGTAATTTCCCACCCCTATTGTGTTTAGCTGGTTAGTGGGCATGGAGGAAGAAGGAGGGAGTGGGCTGTCATTTACCACTGTGTATCCTCCCATATGTGAGACTCTATAGGCTTCTCAAATGTGATAGAGGGAGGAATGCTCAGTATAGAAACTCACTGAAAACTGAGCATGTGCAGAGCTGCCAACACCACTGTGCAAAATCCCCAAATGCACTGAGGACACGGACAGGAGGGGGAGACAGAGAATAGCAGAATCAACAAGGATTTTTGCAGAATACAAAGAATGAATCCCATAGTGACTGAGTGAGTATGAACAACATGCAATCAGGGGCCGACTGACAACTCATGGGGCCCCCAGGCAATAGGGGATCATGAGGCCCCTGTGTCCTAGCCCACACTCAAACTACACCCAAAAAAGCCTATAAAAAAGGTAACAAGGGCATCTCATGGAACCCCTACTGACCCAGGGCCCGTGGGCAGTGCCTAATGCAGGCCATAGACGAGGCGAAAACCAGCCATTTGTTTTTAAAAAAAACGAAAAATTGGTAGTTCAAATAGCCAATGTTACCACCATTGGTAAAAAAAATCAGCTGATTTTCATCCCGTCTATGGCGGCAAATTTAATAGTGGAGTGTCCCTGCAGAAAGTTCCGCTATTATATTTGACATTTAAAAGTATAGCAAAGTTGCAACATTGTATCTATTTGTATCCATTTCGGATACAGATGTTTCTATTTGGATATAATTAGATACAATGTTGCAACCGCTATACTTAAATGTCAAATATAATAGCGGATCTCTCTGCAGGGACACTCTGCTATTCTATTTGACATTTAAAAGTATTGCGGTTGCAACTTTGTATCTATTTGTATCCGAATAGAAACATCTGTGTCCAAAATGGATACAAATAGATACAGATGTTTTTCTTTTTCTTTGTGTTCATCTTCTTCTTCTGTTGCTTCTTTTTCCTCTTCTTGCAGGTCACGGCTCATGCGCATTTTTTTAATCGGTAAAAAGATCGGCCGATTTGCCCATCATTGCAGCGAAAATCGTCCGATCATCAAAATCGGCCAGTTTTTTTCCAACATAACCGATTAAAAAAATGTGTCAAAATCACAAAAAATGGCCAACAAATTCACCCACTAACGATCCGGAAATCAGCTGATTATTCTTTCAGATTAATTTTCGGCCGATTTTCGACCCATCTATGGCCTGCATAAGTGCCTAAATGGTAAGTCCGCCCCTGCATGTAATACAGCATTTATTGATAGTTTTTTTTATGATGCGTGTTTAGTGACACTTTAAAACTGTTATTTTAATTATGGGAGAAATCTAAAACAGAAGACACATTAAATGTAAATATTAAATTGAAGTAATATAATTTAGTTGTTTGAATTGATGAATTCAAATTATTTCTCCAAAAGAAAATGAGAATCATCCTCCTCTTCCACAGAACAGGGTTTGTACCTACCTCATTCAACAGGTAAATATAGAGGAATGACAGTTTGCCTTCACAAAATCCTTTTTTTTTTTTAAAAAAAAGAAGCCTATCTACAGTATTTGTTTGCATTAGAGCTACACTTCTGTATACACTAGTGCCCAGGGGCGGACTGACAAATCATGGGGCCCCCAGGCAATAGGGGATCATGGGGCCTCTGTGTTCTTGCCCAAACTCAAAAAAGCCTATGAAAAAGGTACCAGGGGCATCTCACGGGGCCCCCTAATGACCCCGGGTCCTCGGGCAGCGCCCGAGTTTCCAAATGGTCAGTCCGCCCCTGCTAGTGCCATTGTAATACTGTTCTAATTCCTCATCTTTCCGGTCTCAGCAAAGTTATTCAAGCCAGCAACAGTGTTCTGATCACCCGCCATGCCAGTGCCATGCTAGTGCCAACAGACCCAGTGTTCCCTATTGCAGTGATCCCACACCAGTATACTCCAGCATTAGTGTTCTGATCACTGCTAATCTAGTGCTATTGTCAACAGACTCAGTGAAGCCAGCAATACTGTTTGGATCGCTAGTCATTAGAACCGTTTCAAGCCATCAACAGTGTATAAACAATGTATTTGCTAGTTTTGTAAGCCCTTTGGGACCTTTCATATGGTTCGCTGCTTTCAGTTCATCAATGAGCAGATCCCCCATTGAATCAGAGCTGAACAGGACAGATATTAGTTTCCTATTCAGTTTGTCTGGAATTTGACAGTGGACTGTGGTGGACCTGTAGGAATCTATAGAATAGCTAGATATAAACAGGCTTACAGCTTACTACCTCTGAGTCCATCCAGGTCTGGAAAAAAAAAAACAACAAAGGACTGTGTTTCTTTCCATTTTCCAGATCTAAAGGTGATGGATCGGATGTAGCCTGATGGAAATGGACACAAGACAGTATGCATCCAGTCATCCATTGGACCATCATAGGTTACATAGTTACATAGGTAGTCTGGCTAAAAAATGACAGAAGTCCATCCAGTTCAACCATAGAAAAAATAAAGTTATAATCCTACACCCACAGTTGATCCAAAGGAAGGCAAAAAAAAACAGCAAAGCACGATCCAATTTGCTCCTGCAGGGGAAAAAAATTGCTTCCTGATCCCCCCCGAGAGGCAATCGGATATTCATTGGCTCAACTTTACCTATAAATGTTATATCCAGTTATATTCTCTGTATCCAGGACTTTTTTGAAGCAATCCACTGAGCTGGCCCAGAACCAACTCTTAAGGGAGTTCTATTCCACATTCTCACAGCTCTCACTGTGAAGAAACCTTTCCATGTTTAGAGATTAAATTTATTTTCCTCCAGATGTAAAGAGTGCCCCCTTGTCCTCTGTGATGACCTCAGGGTGAATAGCTCTACACCGAGTTCACTATATGAATCACTGATGTATTTATACATGGAGATCATATCCCCCCTTATGTATTATACATGGAGATCATATCCCCCCTTATGTATTATACATGGAGATCATATCCCCCTGTTAGAACCCGCCAGGTGGTGCCCCCTGGCAGCCCACTTGACAGACCTACCCAAAGCGTGGAGTCTAAGTCCCGGTCTGTGCTTTCACCAGGGCCCCTGATGGTGGGGATGGACTTGAAACAGACCGGGACCAGGTCACGACCTCCGAGCAGGCCCACCAGTGGCAGGGGCAACCTCCGGGGCTGTATTGGTACCGGGAGAGCCAGATGTGAGGAGGACGGCAGGACCTAGCAGGATGGATCACGAGCGGGGGTCCCGTGGGGTAGGCGAGGTACAGAATCGGCAGGCGGAGAGTAGTCAGGTCACACGCAGGGTCAGCAGGATAAGTCAGTCCGTAGAGGGGTCAAAACAAGCCGAGGGTCAGGATGGGAGAAGGCAGAGTAGTCAGGACAATCGGGTCAACACAGGGAGTAGGCAGCGTAGTCAGGGTCAATCAGGGTCAAAAACACAGGTACAGGACTCAGGAACTCAGATAGACCTTGCGGCAATTACTGACAGTGCAGGGCATCTTTAAATATTGCGCCCTGCACTGTCATTGGCCGCTCGGGACGCGCCCCCGGGCTGTCATTGGCCGCCCGAGGCGCGCCCGCGGGTCCCACTGCGCATATGGCGCGGCATCCTGTCATCCACTGCTCGCCGGGACCTAGTGCCTGTGTCCCGGCGTGAGCCGTTGCCAGTGCGCATGCGCCGGCCCGACAGGATGCCGCGATCCTGACATTGCCCCCCCCCCTACGGGCACCCTCCGGGAGCCCCACTGATCTCTCCACCGCGGGTGGCCACGAAAAAATTCCCGGACGAGCCTTGGGGGCGTGAACATTCTGGATGGGTACCCAAGAATTCTCCTCAGGGCCATAACCCTTCCATTTTATCAGGAACTGCGTCTGGCCCCCCTCTTTCGGCAACTGAGAATAGTTTCTATCTCATATTCCTCCTGGTCACCTATGGCGACTGCCTCAGGAGGTCCGGATTGGCGATCCGGGAAGGAATCCGGTCTGGACGGTTTCAGGAGAGAGACATGGAACACCGGGTGTATTTTGAAAGACTGGGAGCTACAAGATTCATTAGGCCTACTTCATTGATCACCTTTAATCTGGAAACGGTCCAAGGTACTTCGGTCCTAATTTCCTGGAAGGATTTTCATTATATATATTCCCACCATAAACTTTTATATATTGCCCTCCCATCCAATCCATCCACAATTATAATCTTACCTTCACAACATGTGTTTTTTTTAATTATACAAATATCTAATATTATATAGTATGTCTATCCTGTAACTAACTGTCATCAAAACACTACAATATTTTACCCCAACTGATATTTATATACACCTACATCCCATCCTGTGATGATATGTTAGTCTGTCCCTAATATTATGTCCGCTCCTTCCTGAGAACAGTTGTTCTCTAGATCCTCCTCCAATCTCACATCTCCTCAACACCGATTATAATTATTACACTCTGAGACTATACCATAGCATCCTACAGTTGACGTCTTCACGTATGTGTGTCACAAGTACAATTACAAACCTTTAATCATCATCCATAACCTGATATATGTCATCAGCATCTGACTCTGCGTCACCACTCTAGAATCTGTGATAATGTCCCGTTGATCGGCTCCCTATCTGTGTGTTTCCTCACTTGATACCATTCATAAGTCAAGTTAGTATCTACTCTGTCAGTGTGTGCAACTTCACTCTGTATAGAATACACCTATACCAGCTACCAGAGTACTCCACCTGTGTCTCTATCCTTGTTACCTCCTGAGTTATAGAGCTCACACCCACTAACCTCAATCTACCTCACATTTAGTCCTACATCACCCTACTGTGTGTACACTGTAGTACTCTGCTATGACCTCATAATCACCAGAACCACTATACTCTGTTCAAATAATACCCTCTCTCAACTTGCTGAACACTAGTCTCTCTCTCTGTCACGCTGCCCTCTCTGTTCAAGAATATATATCAAACACCTACCTCACCAACCCTGAGACACTAGTAACCCATCTCCTCATGTCATATAGAGTGTAGACAGCTTATCTGTTATACCAACCCCACCCCACTCTACAATCTATACCTCTCACCTAATAACCGCCTCGCAGACTCCTCCTCATTCGCACACTGTAATGCGTCCCGAATCAGACACTCACTCTACCACAAATAGAGGCACAATGTCTCCATCAGAGTATATCTGTTCACACTAATCAGTCTTATCGTGTCGATCACCACAATTGAATAACAAGAACATACCCACCACAAATCACCTTCATCCAACACCACTTACTCATGCGAAGCTGTACCTGCACCTAGATCTGTATCCCTCTAGTGAGTTATATGCGCGACCTTCTCCATCCCATCAAGAGCCCTCTACTGTCTAGTCTCACTAAGACTTGTCTCCAAAGTCTTAAATCTCTCCAACACTCGTGACTAACCATGTGCCGTTCTCTCTCTTCAGACTATACCAGACTGACCATATATTTACACAACACAGTCCCATCCCTCAACACACGTTGTCCCATACATAACCCAGACGCGCCCAACTTCCCGCTAATATCTATAATGTTCTCTGAAAATTCTAACCATTGTGTAACTACCGATATATAGAGAAAGACGATTGTCTTCTCTCCTCGTTCCTTACACAATTGTTAATAATGCGCTCTAATGCGTACATGTAAGATCTCTATAGAGCCAATATCTCTGACAACCTCACTCTCATAGATAACATTGTCAGATCACTAATAGTTCATTGAGATATGCAGTGTCAAAAACTTATGTGTGCTTATACTTGTAGCAAATCACAACGTTCTATGTGCCTCTAACAATATCATCGCTCCGCTCTCATCGTCAACATCTTGTTGACATATACCCATTACACTTACATCTGTATGTCACACCACCCATCGTTTGCGTCGCCCCAGTACTCGTTCAATCGTCGCATTGTATGTTAATATGATAATAATGTGTCATACCATAGAAAGACTCCAGATATTACCAGATAGAATAAGAACGCCATATCGATGCTTTATATCTACTCCATCTGCCACACACGACGAATGTATACTGATACGCTAGACAACAATATCGTTATCTACATATATACTGGATTTCTTTGTCCCGTATGTTACTATCTCTCATACGGACTACAGTGTCCTTGCCAGTCTAACTCCTCTGTAGACGATGCTCTAGTCTCTGTACCTCGTGTCTCCATCAGATGCACTAATTATGTTCAAAGATAAATTAACTCGAGAGCGCAGATTATCCCGCGCCAGATCAACACTGTCACCGTCAAGCCACTGAAACCAGAATATCTACTCGTTCAAACTCCAGCGGTATACCATTTGCCTATATGTCGCCTCAGTCTAGATTCCTCCACTGTGCTATCATGTCCCCAAATCTACCTGCTAATGCGCGAATCAGTACCGCACTCTGAGACTGAGGACATAATAAGACTGCAGATATGAAATAAAACATATACTTACCACTCATGACGCTCGATACTATGCTCCTCTCTATATATCCATTCGTCGCCACCTCATCACGTCTATATTCACGTCCGGTATCTCCCTATAATCACTTCCTCCACTGTACACCGCACGTTCTATGAGTACTCCCTCTTGCTCTCAAGTAGTCCTCCCCCTCCCCCACACCCAACTCTTCACCCCTCACCTCCCACACAATCGCCCCACACATCACCACCCCAAAAAAAAAAAAATGTGCACAGTTAGAAAAAAAAAAAACAATTATACATAAACAACCCCCCTGACTCCAAAATTAATTTAAATCAAAAATCAAAAAAAAAAAAAAAAAGAAAAAAAAAAAAATAAACAAAG